TAGTTGTCAGCCCAACTGAAAATAGGGCCGATCTCCCTGCTCAAGCCAAGCTTCTTGTGGTAATTTGACTGGTTGTCCAATACGAACTTGGCCACTGACTTGCGAAAGCGCAGCACTTCGTCATAGGTGCTTGTAATGCCGTGATCATTAAGAGTTTTGATGAGCTCTGAACTGCCATGCTTGTGGTGTAGTTTCACAGCCAGCCCGAGCGTGGTCTGGTTTCTGTTGGCACCGCCAATGTGCTGCTGAATGCACTGAGCCAAGGTCAGTGACTGCTTGGTGATGGCACCCCCTGATACGAGGCTAGAGACTAGTTTAAGAAGAGTTACACTGGTGCTCTCGATGACCTTGTGACGAGCATGGTCATTGAGGTTGTAGTTCCCAGGTCTAGGTGTAGCCATGACCTCGCTCCGGATCTTCCTCACTAGCTTCTCCAGATCATCGCCGTCATCCTTGCTCTGGCTTATTTCGACAATTCGGATAAACTTTCCAAGGTTGGCTTTAAATCCAACTACACTGTCACATACCTCGATGTGGAGTAAGAGCAGCTTGTCACCGAAGTGGGCCATGACACTGGACATGAACTGTCTTCTTAACACTGTGCCCGAGGCAGCGAGGTACATGGAGTACAGCTGCGATGTCGTCCACGTCTCTGTCACGTTCTCAATCATCGTTGATATGACGAACCTCAGCGCCTCCTCCACAGGCGCCATGATGGAGGGAAGGGTCAATGGAACAACACGGAAAGAATTGTAACAGTGGACATAGTACTGAGCATCAGCAGCATGTAGATCAATGATCCCACCGAGTCTAGCCATTACCTTCATTGAAGCCTTGACCTTCATTTTGACATTGACCTTGACCCCATATCCAAAAAATAACTCCAGAAATGGACTCCCTGCCCTCGAAAACCCCTAAAAAGAGGTATTGCATGACACTCTAAGGCATCGAGATCACAAATTGTAAATTGACCAAAATCCAAGATGAACGTCAAGATGAGGCCATGATGAGATTCAAGATGAGGCCATTCAAGATGAGGCCATCTTGAAATCCAAGAAATGCTCAACGATGCACAGGTAGCCCCCAAGCTAATTCAGCTCTCCTAACTATATAGAACACATTTCCATGAAAAAAGTTTAGAGTAATTAACTTTGCAGGGTCAACATTTTGGCAACTGGACTATGAAAGCGTAAATAAATTTCAAAATCTAAATCTAAAAATCTAAGTGAAATTGTACTATGAAATCACCCCATTTCCCATTTTGTGAAAAATTGTGTCATTTTAAAGTAATATTTCAGATTTTATATATATTTTTTAGATACAACTTTTTTTTAACAAATATTGATACATGACTCGAGTCTAAATTAATATCAGTATTTTTCGTTTACTGTAAATACATCCTCAAATAAAAGTGAGAGATAAATGGTTAAAACGCCATCCTCAAAACAGGCCCCACTCAAACCCGTCTGGAGAACGGGTAATAGCTAGTCTCTATAATAACTGATGTTATTATAGAGATCAGTGATGTAACCTAACAGGCTATAACTAATGAACGGTATAGGCTATAGTAGTGATTTAATAGTGGTCATGTGTCATCTGTTTTGGTTTTCCTCATGCAGCGCCCCTTTCGGAGTTTGGGTTTTCCTATCACCCATGTTGCATTCTGGGATTGTTGTAAAATGGCAGCCCCCGCTGAAGACGAGCAAGCTAATAATACTAATAGCGGCGCGGAAATTACGGAAAAGGTCACTTTTAGATCATTAGTAAGTTTCATAATACAAAGAAACTGTTATATCAGCTCAATTGTCGTTATTTCGTGTGTAGATACTACATCTATGCTGCGAGTTCAAACCCCGGCCGGGGCAGTGAATTTTCTCAAGGTGTAAAAACCTGTCTCTCAACATTGGAGACTGTGAATCTCCCGTGGCTCGGATGACCACGTAAAATGGCGTTCCCGTCTCTAGAAATACTAGCCAATGGGGACGTAAAAGAACCACTGAGGGCGCAAAAAAACTCTGGCTGTGACCACCCTCAGTGGCATTTGGCTAAAGGCTGACTACCTGGCTTTACCCAAGCTAGTTCACACCTCAAGCCATGGCTAGCTATAGACCGAATAATTCTGTCCCATATAACCTTTTTTATATTTTGGTGAGGGTTATTGGGACAGAACGGGGTGCATTGAAAGTTTGTGAGATCGCATGCAAAATGCATGCGCTGCTAATGCGGCCCGTACGCCGCTATTGGCGCGAAAAAACCCCGGCCCATGGATAGAGAACATGTATCCCAATAAAACCAATGTGCCTAACCCTAACCCTAACCCTAATTCTAACCCTAATTCTAACCCTAACCCTAACCCTAATCCTAACCCTAACCATAACCCTAACCTA